CCTCCCAGCCACTTTTACCCAGCGCCTCTCTTCCTGAGCTCACTACCACCGTGTCTCAGCTCACCATGACGGACCTGACTTAGGGCACCGTCGGTTAGGGCTGTGTGCTGAGGCCTGGCTTCAGTTAGTGGGGCCTTCTCCCCTTTTCTCTGCGTGTATGTGTTCCCCGGGGGGGCGGTGAGGGTTAGCGGGGGCCACACAAACATAGCTTCATCCCCTAGAGGAGGTTGGTGCCACAAGTGACTTAGCCTCCTATGACTTCCCTCCCAAACACAGCCACATTAATTACAGCGCCAACTGATGTGTTTCACAGCCCTCGGGGCTCTCCTCACTGTCCTCCTTCTGACTCCTCCATATCTGAATTTGGACCGAACTATTGCAGTCCTCCATGATCACAGCCCATGCCACAGATGTCACAAAGGGGATTTTACCTGGTCTTTCAGGCCTACAACGGTCACAATGGTACCTAGACCTGCAGTCTCAACAGTTAAAAACTGAGTGTGCAACAGTTGTCTAACATTGTAGTCATAGTGATGTACTAGATGGTGGAAATTAATCAAAACCAGAGCACAATCAAAGCCTAACAAGCCCCCCCTCCAAACAAAAGCCTCACGTCCCCAGTCCGGGGAGAGAATAAAGTTACGACTCTGTAGAGGCCACTGCGAAGCTGATGTCTCCAGTGGAGTTTCTCAACCCTGAGGCCACTGGCCAGCTGGGATCCCACTGAGCTCTTAATTAATCCCCGTTTATGGGGCCTCCTCACAGATGAATTGACCTATTTGTTCCGTGTTTAACGGAGAACTCTAGTTAAGAACTTCTTATAACTTATAGGCATATTTTAAGTCATCCTTTAATTAACAAGATGTTCAGATTATGGGGACGCATACAGTCTTACACAGTTGGCACCCTTTTCCAAATCTTCTAAAAACCATTGTCTGATCCATTGACATAATGATGCCATCAAGGGGAAAAAATGTAATTACTCATATTGTTTACTATTAGCACAGTATTCGTCTATGAAAATTATCCAATCAGCACCCAAGTCAAGAGTAATCAACTGTAGAGCTCAGCAGGAAGGAGTGCCAGTGTTTGCAGCGGGTTTCGAGGGCAAGGATTGGGAAATGCTGATTATCATAAACTGACTGTGCTGGATATGATTTCACCTCCTCGGGCCTTTCTGTGTAAAACAGCATTGTAAACTGATGGGTCCGTGCCAAATGGTTCCTCACAGATGACTAGCTGTTGGCAGAGGCTGTCTTTGTGTAGCGAGCGGCAAGCAGATTTAGGCCTGGAGTGCAGGATTACTCCGAATCATCTCTGCCGGAAGCTCAGGGGCCCAGCTTGGTCAGCTGACTGAGAGAGAGAATAATGAGACCCTGGGGCAGGCCGTAACTTCCACCTTTAACCTTTGGTGCACGATCTCTAGAGCGACCCTGGGAATACAGGCCGATTTCTTCATCGTAAATATTTAAAAGTCTCCACTTCTGCCCCTAGCCTGAATTTTTTTAGCTGTATCCCAAAGAACTCCTTTGGATTCTATCCCAAAAATGTAAAAAATATATTTAGATTGTCACTCATGTTGGGTTGTCGGGAGGGGTGTGCGGGAGAAGCAGGAAGCGGTGCAGTGGGGGAGAGTGACAGGGGTGCTTTTGGGGAGGCTAGGATGCCTTTCCTTTTTTGAAAACAGGCCTCGCTGAGTAGCAGAATATGAGTCATCGCGCACATCACAGAGGAGCACACAGTCAGGCAACACAGTCAGGCAACACAGTCAGGCAACCTGCTTTGTAGTGCATTGGAGCTTTGATGTGGGGTGTTTTCTGGATCAAAGCTCAGTCCTACTACCGCGTGTGTTACGCACTGCACGGCCTGTAACAGCAGACAGAGCACACTGACTTAATGCAGAGCTTTCCTGTGTCACCTGAGAAGAACGTGTCACCACATATAATGTTCCTTTCCTTTGTGACCCCCCCCCCCCCACCAGTTTCCCTTCCTTACCTTACAGTGGTTAGAAGAGACGATTGCAAGTCAGGGGACACTTCTACGCAAGGTCCCTGGAATGCGGAATTTGGACACAAGAAAGAGATAAAGAAGAAGACACACAGTTTGTGGTGTTTTGATAAAGGGAGTAAAGTTAGAATGATTCCAAGGGACCTAAAAAATCTGAAATGTAACTGGATTGGTCAGGGTTAGGACCCAGCATGATAAATTTTCATGCCGGCCAAATTCTCTAGTGGCTCCCCTGCCAGTAGCAGTCAGTGGTGGCTGTATGTGTCAGTGAGCCAAACGAATGGTCACACCTCTCTGCCCCGTCCAGAATAGCTTGCCATGTGCGTTTCACCTGTGCATCTCGGTCCAGAGATACCATCACCAAGAGTCTAACTGGGGAAGTTTTCAGGGTTATTTGCTGTCCACATTCTTTGAGTCAAAGCGTGGGAAAGGGGCCGCCATAAAGAGGAGGAAGGTTAGGAAGGTTAGGAAGGTTCCAAAGCCTCTGGTCAACAGGAGCCTCAAAAAATTTGATACATAATTGGATTAGTCTGGGTTGGGGGCCCAATATGGTATGTTTTCATCGGGCCCCAAATCTCTAGATACACCCCTGTGTGGGAACCCTGCAAGTCACCAAAATTCCCACAATTCCCTTCTCTGCATTTTATTGACACTGAAGTCCTGAGTTTGCAGTCATTGCCGTCCACCGCTGAGCAGGTAAGATGCAGCAAGGAGAGCCGACACACACACACACACACACGCTCACAGTGTCCTACCTGCTACGCTAGATAAGACAACGGATTTCTGAATGTCCTGAAACAGGACAGCGGGCCTCTAATTAAACCTACAAAGCGCCCCATGCTTTTGAGTGTGGTTAAGTCAGCCGGTCGGAGCAGCCGCTCTGTGTTTGTGTGCTGGGTGAGAAGGTTGGGCCGGGCAGGCAAGAGTCGCTGAGGTTCTGCGCACCTGCAATCTCTGCATGTGCAGTTGTAGAGAGAAACTCCCGGAGCATGTAATTAAGGTCACCGCCTTGTCCAGAACGGCGTAATTGCCTGCACTCTCTCCACAGGTTGGGTTTTAATAGCCCAGCTCTGGCAGAAGAACAGTGGAGCCATAATCATGCAGGAACCACCACAAAGCGAAATAAATAGCTGAAAGTGGTTTAGCAGGGAGTCTCTTTGCATTCCCCACACCGGCACCCCCAAGGGCCTCCTTGTCTTTTAAGGCGTGCCAATTTTTGGTGGAGTGCGTATATCCAATCGGACCACAGGATCACCCCCCCCCCCCCCGGCCAAAATGTCAGTCGGATCACAGCACTTTCCACGTGGCGTCAAGCGGCCTCTTCACTCGGGAACCTTGCAGTCTTTTCATGGCCCATGAGTCGCTCATTAGCATTAGCATTAGCATAATTCCCATCAGCAGTCATATTGAGTTGCTAAGGCCGAGTCTGCTACGTGCGAAACACCAATTTAAGTCTCACTTGGCAGGCATATATCTAATGGAGCGTCTCCATGTTACAAGGGGGTGGGGGGAGGGGGGGCTGAAGGCGAAAGGCAGGGCCGGGATGAGCGGCAGTGTGAATGCTGGGGGCCAGTCCCGCCTTTCGCGGACGTGACGTTGAGCGAACAGGCCAGTCATCGCTCACCATCTGCTTAGTTAAAGAAGCACGCAGAGAAATGGGAAAACATGCCCCCCCCCACCCCCAGAGGGGCTCCTATATTTGCTTCCTGAAAGATTTATGTCACCCATAGCAATTACTGGGATTTGTTTTCCCATGAGAGTGAGCATAAAGCAGGTGTACTTTGGGCTGGGTGGGCTGCCAGTAAGCAGATCCTCGTTAGCACTGGGATGTCTGTCATTACCATTGTGATTTTTGTGAGGTTTTCCCAACCCCTTAAGAGACAAAGTTGCTCCGTCCATTAGGCCGCTAATGTCAGAGAGTGGCACGGAGACAGAGGAAGAACTCACTGACTTTGCCATCAAACTGAGTGTAATGGGGG